AAATACCTGAATTAGCGACTACCGAGATAGGGGCAGATGAATGCTTCAAAAATTCTTGGTAGGAAATAAATTTGGCATACTCGTCTGAAGAAACAGCAATTGATCCATCAGATGAACTGGTAGCGGAAGCAACATGACCAAACTGATTTCCTTGATTCTTGAATACCAATTTCCTACATTCTTTGATCAAGTGCCCGGACTTCTTACAGTAATTGCATATTACTCCTCTGTTAAGTTGACCCGCACACGACATTTTTTTTTCTTTTTTTTTTCATTTTTTTTAAGTAAAGCAAAGAATAAAAGAATGGAAGTTCAATAGAATTGGACTTCTGTATTCTCCTTGTTGACCGCTAGTAAACAGACTCAGAAAAGTGTGATACAAAACTTGTTACCAGATTTGAATCCACATGTGCTTACTGACGGGAGGTTGTAGGAGTGCAAGCATAGGTATCCACAACCATGATGCCTAATAGGCTTGTCCTCTCGGTTGTCTTCTGCGCGCTCGTTCCCTGGCCCTGCAGTCTCTTTTCCGATGGTAAGGAACGAAGCCTTACCAGGCCAAAGACGAGCAACACCAGAAGATGGGTCTTACGTAGGCGAGCCGGAATGCGGTTTTCGATCGGAAGTCTGGGCCACGAATATACGTCACGCGCCGGCGCGTGAGTTGAGGTCGCCGGACTTGTGATGGCGCGTGTAGCACACTCGCAGTGTAGTTGGACATCGGATTTCGGCTGTGGGGTCGTCGGAGGTAGGTGCACCTCCTGGGTATGGCTTTGATGCAGTCTGGCCTGAAGAGAATATGGGACTGTAAAGACTAACTGAGTTTCTGAAAAACTAGCAGCTAATTGATTTTCTGGAAATTAGCAGCTAATTGATTTTCTGGAAATTAGCAGCTAATTGATTTTTTGATTTTTTTTTTACCTCTCTGATACCATGTTGAAATATAAACTAGAATAATATTGAAAAGTGGAGGAAAGATTTTCTGTGTTTTTCATTAGAGGGTTAAGGCCCTATATATATATATATTACAAAGATGGAATATTCCTATATAAGATGTTATACAATAATAATGTCTAGAGTATATTCCTAAAGCATATTCTAGAGCATATTCCTAAAGCATATTCCTAGATACAATAATACTTTCACATCCGGCATTCATGATGAACAGTGAGTTTATCGATCACATCCATCATCGTCCGCATCCTGGCATCCATTTCCGTTCGCATCTCCGTGTATACTCGTTCCATATGCTCCATCCGTTGTTCCATGCTTGCTTGCATGACTACCATCCACAGGCCCAGCAGACAGTGCTTTGATACCAAATGATAGAACACACGAAGTTCCACAATAATAACAAGGTAATATGAATGGATTAGAGCAAAGAATCTCTTATTGAACACAGAAAAAGTAACGGGAAAAGGGAATAAGTCCAGGCAATTCGAGAGTGTCGTGCTGATAGGAATCAGGCCCATTAGACTAAGAATAGAAATAATAACAACAATAAATGTAAAGACAGTATAAATAGCTTGGAAAGGGGAGTTAATAGTAGGCTGTTTTAGACTTGTGTCTTGGGACTTGGGAAGACTGAGATTCTATCTCTTTCTTTTGGGGACTTCGGTCAATTGGGGGCTTCGGCCATAGTTTCTTATTCTTAATCAATAAAGACTGCAGAGTTGTTCTTGATCTCTTTATGTGATTTTATTGAATTTCTGGATATCTCTAACATTTATCATTTTTGGAAATCCCAAACAGATTCATGATGCTGACAAGTCTAGTTTCGTTCAGGAGATGAAATGGCTGAATCTTTTAAAATCTGAAATGATATACTGTCATCCATTAAACATTTCTTTGGAAGGGCTGAAATCATTGAACAAGTTTGATAGTTTCAGATATGAGGGTATTACTTCTATGATGGGTAATAAAAAGAGGTTGGAAGGAGAGATTTCTGGGAATGTTACAGAATTTGAGGGATATGTGACTGGTGTGGAAATTGTTAGTGAGTGTATACCTGTTCAAGATAGAAATGTAGGTTTTGATTACAAGTTTCTTATGGCAAGTATTGATCCAAGACATAAAATACTCATGAAAAGAGGTATGAACTGGAAAGAGGACAATGTGTTGAGCACCATTGTTTTTTTGAAAGGGATGGGGAAGTATGTTGTTGATATTTTTGAATATCAGTTGGATCAAATCAGTATGGCCCGGGATCCTACTACTCAGGCTACTGTTAATAGATGGGAGGCTGTAGCAAATGGACAGGTGAAACTGAAACAAGGGTTGAAAAGTGAATTGTTTTCTTCTGATGAAGAATCTGTCTATCTTCAAGAAAACCTACTTTGGGAGTTTTGCATGGATAATAGGCTTTCCTGTTCTTCAGTTAGCAGAAATGCAACTGGAATAGTGGATATCCTCACCTACCTGCTAAAACCTTTGAGGTTTTCCTTCTCAAATAAGTTGGCGACTGAAGATGCTGAAATTTCAAGGAGTGAAGCAACTGAAACTCAAAGATTTGAGTTATATCCTGTAGCAAGAGCTATTAGCACAGGGAAGATTGAGCAAGGGATGGTGGGTGAAGATCAGTACCAGCATGATCAAAGACACATGCCTAATATTGATGATTGGAAGAAGAAGGAGCTAATGCTGTTTTTGCAAGAAGCAGTGAGAAGGAAGATTCAAGTCATGAAGTTAATGATCCTGACATTTGAAAGATATTGGGAAGGAAGAGGTGCAAGGAAGAAGAAGAAGAAGCAGAAAATCTGGGTTGTCTCCTACCGACCACCTTGAGGGCAAGGTGGATGTTTAGGGGGGAGTAGTGATAGGGACCTACTTATTAAAATAATATTAGAAGTAATAATAATAATATTAGTAATAAGGGTCTCTAGTATAAATAGATGTAGAGGGAAGGTAGTAAGGAGGCTTTTGGACTCTTTGTCTTGGGACTTGGGAAGACTGAGACTAATAATCTCTTTCTTTGGGAGCTTCGGCTTTTGGTGGCTTCGGCCATATTTTCTTGTAAGGTTCTTGATTCAATAAAGCTTTGAATTGTTCTTGATAAATTTCTGTCATTTCCATTGAACTTCTGGAGGATTCTATCACGTGCTCTCCAAGTCTAAAACTGACAACCAGCCTATCTCCTCTCTCCTCTCACCAGACTATTTATTTCCCTTACAGTGGTCCCCCCTTCTTAGCTAATTACTTACGCCCCTGTTTCTCCTTTTAGCCCTCCTGACATACATATGGGAGAAATCCCTATCGGGATTAATATTTAAATCCCCCAAAGTCCTAACACATATTCAATAAATCCCATCCGGAATTAGGGTCTGAAGAGATGGGCATGCAGACCTAATTGCCAACCCATGAGGGGCTGGGGCAGTGGAAAGCAAGCAAACAAGCAAGGTGCACAAGATAATCAATAAACATGTAAGCAAACAATTACGCAACCATACAAAAGTAAGCACGTAAATAAACATGAAAAAATGAAAAAGAGATGTCTAGACTCTGACAGCGAACACCTCCAAAACCTACAAGAATTTGCTACCTTAACCCGGCTCTCCACGAACCCTGGTCATAGCCCATGTCCTCAATGAGGTTTAGAACTGCCAAGGCACCAACTCCAGCCTCAAGTGGTCATCTTGTGTCATCCATGATTTGTCTCTCCTCCTCATACTCAACCAAAAAACATTCTCCATCCTCCTCACTGGTGTCGTCACAGCTATGCAGTAGACATGGCCCAACCACTGCAGTTTTCTCTGTCTCACTTTTTCAGTAATAGATGTGAATCCAAGCTCTATACAGAAGACTACATTTTATATTCTAACCAACATGAGATTACCACATGACCACCACAACATCCTAACATTCTCCACTTCCAAATTTGAGACTCTCGTGCCTTCTTTATTGTCCAACAGTCAGAGCCATACATTAAGGCTAATTGGATGGCTACCTTGTAGAATTTCCCTATCAGCCATAACCAGGCTTTCTAGTCGGTAGTCACATACTCCTCCAACAACCTTACACTTTGAAGTTTGAACGCCCGTCTTAATACAGCGTGTGACGTCGTCCTCAACCTCTTCTTCCTTCTGAACGATGGAACAGGCTGATTGGATGTCTGCCTTGTAGAGTTTCCCTATCAGCCTCAACCAGGCTTTCCAGTCGGTAGTCGCACAATACTCCTGCGAGTCCGCGACAACCTTACACTTTGACCAGCCTGTCTTAATACAGCATGTGATGTCATCCTCAATCTCTTCTTCCTTCTTAACGATGGAACCACATTAAACAGTTCCTTTGCCTTAATACTATGACAAAGGGTTAAAATATTTTGTGCAAAAGCTAAAAAAGAAACACGCCCCGTTAAATCTAAGCACAGAAAGGAAAGGCAAAGTTTTTGCGGAGGTAATCTAGTCAAACAAATAGCAAATGATTCTTTAACATCATTACTCTCCATGAAAATTCACTTCCATTAAGTGAAATCTTCACAAAAACTTTTCATATCTACATCAAATGATGAAGAGATGGATAATATAAAAATAGGAGTGACATGAAATAACATCTGTTTCAATAAAATCATTTAGTAAAAAGGACTTTATAAAGCATAACCATATGTCTACAATCAAAGTAGTAAGGACTCATCTGATATGACTGTGGTTGGGATATCACACACTCATCCTTAACAGAGCATACAGGGAAGTGTTTTTTCCTAGACTGAAATCCTAAAGTTTTTACTTTGTCAAAGCCTTATGATTAAGATTGGAGTCATATGATATTATTTGATGAAGTTAAAACCTTATTTGTACTAAATATCTTTGTGAGCATGTAAATAGAGTCATAACCTACTGCAGTGATTTGTCAATATTTCATTTGAAATATTCTCTAAAATAGAATAGCAATACTAGTATAGAACTGTTTAAAAAAAAAGGAAACTTAAACTAATGCTAAATACAATGTTAGGCAGGTATCATCATCATGGTACTCTAATGCCATGAGAAGAGAGAAGAGCATACCATCTTCGGAACCGATGGGGAAACTTCACAGAAAGATCTCATCTCTTCTTTAGATGCAAGGGCATCAATGAACAGAACATCAGCCCCAGCATCAGCAAAAGCACGTGATCTCCAAAGTGATTCTTCAAAGGAAATCGCTTGGCGTGAATCACTACGTGCTACAACCACAATGTCAGCTCCACACTCTGTCCTGGCATCAACGGCAGCTTGGATTCTCATGACTGCTTCCTCTCTGGACACAACTTTCACGCCGCGTGTATGACCACAAGCTTTAGGAGAGACCTAACAAAAACAGCAATGCAAGAATTAGCTCTTAAAAATGAAAAAATAAATGCTATGACAATCTCTTGATGTATGATAGTCTCTCTCTATCATTATGGATTTATGATGCACGTTTCATTGGCTGGACAGACACTAGCATTTCTCCAATTTGTTATAAAATATATCAAGGCACAGAACTTATCTTGCAAAAGAAAATAAGATGTAAATTTTATGTAAAAGAAACTGCTAAGCAAAACAAATACCATCTCCTATAAAAGACCATGTTTCAAAAACAAAAAATGCCCCAAAAAGAATAAAAAAAGAGAGTCCCATTCCATAAAAAGAAGATGATTTTCATGTAGTTTGCCAAACAAATGTCAAGACATTACAAAAAAGTCCAATAAGGACAAATTTACTTTGAAAATATAAGTTTAATTCCATGACTTTTAAGATATGCATCTTACCAGCAATAAAAAGTTGTACCTTAACCAGAAAAAGATAGTCCTTCTTTGAGAAACTTTAAAAGAAATTACACCGCATCTAAAAGCACATCCGATCCAGTGACACGAAAACCCTTATTTTGTTAAAGACTTGAGGTTTCCAAAGAGAATTCCATTTGTTGTGGCATAAAGCCCAATTATAGTATCCAAGTGGCAAACTGACAGTACTTGAAATCACTTCTTATGAATATTGTAGGTTTTAGGAATAAAACTTCCTTGATTCAATATGCCAAACGGCCAGAGTATATATACAGTTGTACAAGTAACAAACAGCTAGTGTAGATCCTGAAAATTAGGATCTTTATAACTACGAGCTTATCTCTAAATAACAGCCTCTATTATAATCTATTCGGCTAAGTATGTACACCAAAATAATCAGAACAATGATGTAACATTTTCTACACTCCCCCTCAAGTTGGTGAATATATATCATACATTCTCAACTTGCTCACAAGTAGTTCGAACATAGGTTTAAATAATCCTTTGGTAAAGATATCAGTTGTTTGATCTTTAGTAGATACAAATGGTGTGCAAATAATTCCAGCTTCAATCTTCTCCTTAATGAAATCTCTGTCCACTTCAATGCGCTTAGTTCGATCATGTAGCACACGATTATGAGCAATGCTTATAGCAGCTTTATTATCACAATACAGCTTCATAGGCAGTTCAATCTCCATCTTCAACTCTGTGATTACTCTCTTGATCCAGAGTAATTCGCATATTCCATTAGCCATAGATCTAAACTCTGATTCTGCACTACTTCTAGCAACCACATTTTGTTTCTTACTTCTCCAAGTTACTAGATTTCCCCATACATAGGTACAGTATCCAGAAGTAGATCTCCTATCAGATACTGAGCCAGCATAATCTACATCAGTAAAGGCTTCAATTGTCCTACTTTTTCCCTTTTTGAAAAACAATCCTTTCCCCGGGCAGCTCTTCAGGTACCTTAGAATCCTGTTAGTAGCATCAAGATGTTCCTGGAAAAGATGATGCATAAACTAGATTACCATACTTACTGCAAATGCAATATGTGGCCTTGTATGTGCCAGATATATTAATCTTCCCACCAATCTTTGATATTGGTAAATATCAACTGGAATTCCCTCCTTGATATCTCCCAACTTCTGACTTGGGTCAATTGGAGTGTCCGCTGGTTTACATGCACTCATTCCAGTTTCCTGCAAAAGATCTAGGATATACTTTCTTTGTGAGACAACAATACCCTTTTTTGATCTAGCTATCTCCATTCCCAAAAAATATTTTAAGTCTCCTAAGTCTTTGACTTCAAATTCAAGGGCAAGTTTTTCATTTAATTTTCTAGTCTCTGTATGATAATTTCTTGTAAGGATAATATCAACTACATAGACAATTAATATTGCAATCTCCCCCTTGCCTGAAAACTTCATGAATAGTGTATGATCAGTTTGAGCCTGTTTAAACCCTTGCTTCTTTATAAACTTTGTGAACCTATCAAACCAAGCTCTTGGAGATTGTTTAAGTCCATACAAAGCTTTCTCTAATTTGCATACCTTTGAGCTAATTTGTTCTCAAATCCAGGAGGAGGTTTCATATACACTTCTTCTTCCAGTTTCCCATTTAAAAAAGCATTCTTCACATCTAGTTGTTGCAGTGGCCAGTCTAAATTAGAAGCAAGAGATAAAAGAATTCTTACAGTGTTCAACTTTGCAGCTGATGCAAAGGTTTCTGTGTAGTCAATGCCATAGGTCTTGTGTGTACCCTTAGCAACTAATCTTGCCTTATATCTTTCCAGACTTCCAACTACCTTAAACTTAGGGGTACAAATCCACCTGCAACCAACTGTTGGTTTGTTTTTAGGAAACTCTACAAGCTTCCATGTTTGATTCTTTGCAAGAGCCTCCATCTCCTCCAAAACAGTTTTCTTCCACTCAGGTTTAGATAGAGCATCCTGTATGGTTGAGGGAATAGAAATAGAGGAAACACTGGAAGTAAAAGTTGCAAAAGATGAGGATAATTTAGAATAAGAAACATAGTCTGAGATAGGGTATTTAACACGTGTTCTTCTTTCTTTTCTGAGGGCAATTGGAAGGTCAAGATGACTAGAAGTATTACCTTTTCACTTCTTGTCATTGAGTCAGAATCATGAACAGTTGTCGGTTCTTGGACTTCCTCTATTCTTTGATTTTGAACTCTTCTCTACTTTGCCAAAGAACTTACTTGTCTGTTGATCTTTTCCAATTGGTTAAGTTGTATTTATTTCATTATTTGTTATTTCTTGATCATTTTCAGATGTACCAATATTTCTAAAGGAATAATCATCTAGATTAATATCAAGAAAATTAAGGTTTTCATGGATATGTGGCACGGTTTGAGCATCTTCACATAAACTCTCCCCCTAAAGATGATGATAAAAAAAGGTTATTCTTCCACAAAAAAGGTGTCCATTGTAACAAACATTTTTCCGGTTGTAGGGTCAAAACACTTATACCTTTTTTGAGTGGAAGAAACACCTAAAAAACACATTTTGTTCCTCTAGGATCAAGCTTACTTGGGAATTTATCTGGATTTTTTATAAACACCGTGCAACCAAAAATTTTCAAAGGAATAGTGCTAACCAATCTATTTGTAGGAAAGTAATGCTTTAGTGAATTGATATGACTTTTAAATCCTAAAATTTTGGATGGCATTCGATTAATTAAATAAGTAGGAGCATGTAACACAGTCTCTCCCCATAGATATTTTGGTATGTTTATTGAAAACATGATTGCACGAGTGACTTCAAGTAAATGCCTATTTTTCCTTTCTGCAATTCCATTCTAACGTGGTGTATTGATACAAGAGCTTTGATGAATTATGCCTTTTTCAGCAAAAAAATTGTTTAGGTTTTGAGAAAAAATATTCACGGCCATTATCACTTCTTACCATTTTAATTTTGGTATTGAATTGAGTTTGGACCACAGCATAAAAATCCCTAAACACTCTCTACTTCAGATTTTTCTTTGATTAAAAATCCCCATGTGACCTGTGTATGATCATCAATAATAGTTACAAACCATCTGTTTACTTTTAAAGTTGGTTATCTAGATGCACTCCAAATATCAATATGTACCAAAGTAAAAGGACTAGTAGGTTTATAACTGTGGGGAAGATAAAATATGTTTTGAAAGTGCACACATATCACAATGAAACAAAGAAGCATCTTTATTCAGAAATAACTGAGGAAACATCTTTTTTAAATAATAGAAATTAGGGTGTCCTAGTTTATAGTGAAGCAAATACAACTCTTTATTATTTGAAAAAGAAACAGTTTGCAAACAAGCATTTCTTGGACCTCTTTTACTTGATTGAGTTCCTTCATCAAAGATATAGAGTCCATCTTCCTCCCTAGCACTGCCAATCATTTTACCCGATGCTAGGTCCTGAAAAATGCAATAAGAAGGATAAAAGATAACACAACATTGAAGGTTTTTAGTTAGCTGACCTAACAGAAGCAAGATTGCAGGATAGATTAGGGACATGTAGGACTTTGGAGAGATTAACAGGTGAGGAAATATTAATATTTCCCATCCCTGCAATGGCTGATAAAGAGTCATCAGCAACTTTAACCTTTTTGTCCCCTGCACAAGGTTTATATGAAGAAAAAAGGTTTAAAATAGAGGTCATATGGTCAATAGCCCCTGAGTCAATAACTCAGATACTCTTAGATTTCCCGGAACAAAAAAATGATGAAGTTGTACCATTCTGGGCATAAGAACAAGAGGAAGATTCTGATTTGGAATTTTTCTGAGTATTTAGAAGGTTAAGGAGTTGCTCTATCTATTCCTTCGTGAAGGAAGGCTGCTTGAAATTGACTTGTGGCTCTTGTTGAGTCTCGGTCACATTTGTTTGTAGAGCCTTGTCAAATTTCTTCTTTCCTGCTCCGGGTGGTTTGCCATGAATTTTCGAACAAGTCTCCCTAGTGTGCCATCATTTCTTGCAGTGATCACACCAGGGTTTTTTCTTGTCATCACTTCTGGCCACCATTGCTGAAGAGTCTCCAGGTTCCTCATTATGGGCTGGAGTGTTTTACTTTACATAACCTTCTTCCTGTTATCTTCCATCCTAATCTCAGAAAATACTTCTCTGATTAAAGCCAGAGGTTTTTTCCCCAGTATTCTTCCCTTGACTTCATCCAGGTCCCTATTAATGTCTGCTAGAAACATATAGACCCTATCATTCTCTTCTATTTTCCTATGTCTTGCCATATCCTTGGCACTTTCCCACTCTTCATCATCATAGCATTGATCTAATTCTTGCCACAGGGATACCATTTCATTATAGTATGAAATGACATCCCTATTTCCTTGTTTAGATTGTCAAAGTTTGGTTTTAAGTTCAAAGATCTTAGAAGAGTTCTCAAGGTCTAAATAAGTTTCCTTGATAGAGTCTCATACCTCTTTTGCAGTTTTCATAAACATATGAAGTTTGGTGATTGATGCATCCATTGAACTGAGAAGCCACGTTGTTACAAGTGAGTTTTCTGACCTCCAGACACGGTAGCCATCTTCACCACTTTTCTTTTCTTTGATCTCACCAGTTAGGTATCCCAGTTTGCCCTTGCCATCAATTGCTAATTTGACAAATTGTGACCGCTCTAGGTCATTTCTTCCATTCAATCTATGTCCAGTGATGAGCATAGATGAATTAATCGAGGCCTCATAATTTGCCATTGAGCTAATATGGGGGTTAGGGTTACTGGTTTGTGAATGGGGAGATGAGTCGGAGTGTTCGAATTCCACCATTGTTATGTGTAAATTCAAGGCTCTGATATCATGTAGGTTTTAGGAATAAAACTTCCTTGATTCAATATGCCAAACGGCCAGAGTAGTACAAGTAACAAACAGCTAGTGTAGATCCTCAAAATTAGGATCTTGATAACTACGAGCTTATCTCTAAATAACCGCCTCTATTCTAATCTATTCGGCTAAGTATGTACACCAAAATAATCAGAAAAATAATGTAACATTTTCTACAAATATCGTTATAGCGAATATCTTTTTCCATCATTTGCAATGGAGCCAAAGATTCATTATTTTTTGGCTTGAGATTATGATGGAATAAAGCAAAATGGGTCACTAAACTGTCTGCGCTTCTTTGCTATGAAGCATCAGTCAGTCCATGCAATTTTGGACGGGATTTTCACTATGGGTCATCCGGAAACAGTCTCTCTGTGCTTTAGTACAGGGGTAAGACTGCGTACATCCGACCCCCCCCCCCCCTACCCCACTGTAGGTGGGAGCCTTTGCGGCACTGGGGTAAATGAAAATGATGATGAAATTATCGCTATAACGAATATCGTTATAGCTAATCTGGGGGTGGTGTCAAATATGCAAGGGCGTGATACACCTCATAGGCTTGGGTGTAGTGGTAAGAATGCTAAGTTTGCTAGATTGTAACCAGGAAGCACTTCCGATGCATGAGGATGGTGTCAAATATGCAAGGGCATGGTGGGGATCGATGTGGTGTGAAGAATAGAATGTGAGGTGCTAGATTGCGCTTTGGGGAGTGGACCGTTGGCTCTTTTACGCGAAGATCATCTGAGGTAGTCGTGGTTATGAGGAGGAGGAGGAATATCAGCATTATGTGCGTGCAATAAACTAAGTGGGTTGGAGAAAACGCACGTGAGATTAACCCCGAAGGTTTCAAGTTGAGGTATTCAGGGAGAGAGAACACCAGAAATAGAGTAGACATTATTGTGGCACGTGATTATGTCGAGGGTGTGGTGGAAGTCTTTAGGAAGAATGATCGCATCATGAGCATTAAATGGAGATGGGAGCATATCTTTGGTAAGCGCCTGTGCACCACAAGTGGGTTGGATGCATCTATCACTCAATAATTTTGAAAATATCTCGAGAGGAGAGAAGCTAGTCATATGAGGAACCTCAACGAGCATGTGAGCCCAAGTCATGATGATTTTGAGAGTATCCATGGTGAACATGGTTTTGGCACTAAAAATGAAGCGGGGAAGAACATTCTGAATTTTGTCTCAACATGTGAGTTGGCTATAATGAACACTTCGTTCAAGAAAAGAGACTCTCACGTTGTGACCTATAGAAGTGGAGCTAATGCTCTAATAGTACCCAAATTGACTAGTTTTAGTACAAACGACTTGAGAACTAACTACACTAATTGTTAGGTTATCCTAGGTGAGAGTGTTGTCAATCATCATAGGATAATTGTGTTTGATTTTCAACGTCAGAAGCATACAAGGCGGATTAAGCAATAAATGGAGCCAAAGATAAAATGGTGGAGGCTCAAGAGGATCTCCAACATAGTTTTACGCACAAAATGTTGGGGGAAGATGTGTGGTGTATTAATAATGATGCACATGCGCATGATTATCAATGGAGTTGACCTATGTAGCACGGATACTTCACTAGGATACTGTATCAACGTATCAGAAACATTCTTGTATCAGATACTATAGGATACCTGTACCGTATGTCCGGGCCGTATTTGTAATTTATTAAAAGTTTCCAACATTTTTGGTAATTATTTTAAAATTCTGGATATCCGTATCCTGACAGATACACGTATCAACCTTTTTTATAAAAAACAACCAAAATTTACATAATAAAATTCTTGCAAATGAAAAACTAAAAATAAATTTTACCTTGTTTTAATCTCGCACCACTAAGTATATGGACGACAGGTAAAATGCAAAGTGTTGGTGGAGATGACATTGGGAGCATGGTGGATATAGGAGTACTTGAGTTTCTCAACCTTTCCATATATGAACCAGAATTGAAGGTTGTGTTTTTGGAAGACGATGTTATCCCTGTAAATTAGTAGCTCCAGTGGAAATATGTATTAGAACTTTTGGGTTTTTTCTTAGTATTGTTTTCTATTTTCATTATTCAAGAACTTTGAGTACTTGCAGTTTTAATTTCAAAATTGTGGTTGTTTAACTCGTTTCTCATTTTAAATTAATGACTTATTGACTATATTTATAATTCGAGACGCACTAGTGTATATGAGATAAAGTATGAATTTATTTTTAACTATCTTGATAATGTCAAAGGCTTCAATGCCAAGAATGGGCAGAGGTCAGAGGATAATATATGTATTTATTTTCAAAGAAATCTTGTAATTTTTAATATTTAAAAATACACCCCATAATTTTTAAAAAATTTTAAATACACCCCTATAACTTTTAATATTTATAAATGGGTTTAATGCACCAAATCTCCCTGTGATATGGAAATTCAGCGCATTAGCCCCCTGTGATTTAAAAAATGCATCAATCCCCCTTGTGTTTTAATTAATTATGCACAAAATCCCTTCTATGAACAAATTCAATTGTCAAATAAAAGAAAAATGATTAACATTTTTGTATGATTTAGAGATTTTGACATATTTACTTGCATATTCGATCAGAATATTAGGAAAAGTGATTTCAAAATCATTAAATTTAGTCATAAAAGGGGTTATGTGCATGATTAATTAAAACACAAGGGGGTTTGACGCATTTTTCAAATCACAAGGGGGCTAATGCGCTGAATTTCTATATCACGAGGGGGTTTGATGCATTAAACACATTTATAAATCATCCTCCGTATCCGTACCATACTTTTTTTGTTTTGTCGTATCCCCGTACCCGTTTCTGCTTTTCTGTGTACCCGTATCGGTACTACATAGGAGTTGACAATTAACAAAGTGTTGTAGGAGATACTTGGAAAATCTAAAGGATGTCTACCATCGAAAAGGACGCATTTTGGTGGAATGATGAGGTGAAACGAGCAATAAGTAATAAAAGGAATGAATAGGCAAAAGTTGGAGCGATTGAGAACATGGAGGAGTATAAGAAGGCTAAAAGAAAAGCAAAGAAAGTCGTAAAGGAAACAAGAGGAAACGTGAACAAGGAGTTGTATGTAAAATTAGACTCTACGGAAGGAGAAAAAGATATTTACACACTTGCTACCATAAGGATAAAATTAGACAAAGTAAGATACACATAAAACACATCTTTACCAGACCAAGTCAGACTAGAAAATTTCGAACCAAGTGAAAACATCCTTAGTTAGCTATATGATTTATGGTAAAAGTTTATGGATCCAACAAGTAGGAAATCCACTCATTCTTGTCAGACATAAAATACTACTCATATTTCATTTTCGATCTGTTCCACCAAGATTGTCTCATACCAAATTTGATAAAGTTTGTGTGTTCTAAACCATTCTTCTTTTATTTTTAATTTATCAATTCAATATCAATCACGTAAACTCACTTTTCGTAACAACCATGGAGGTAATAGTATATACACCTCTGTCCCAAAAAGAGTAATGTTTCATGAATGTACAAGTCTTAATTTTTGGTAAGGAACAGGTATCATAAATCGAGAATAATATTTATATATTTATAACTTGTTGCTTTAACTAAATTTATCTTATGCTACTTTTAGACTCTTGTTTGGAAAATATAGCAGAGAAACTAGTTTCAATTGATCAAATTGGCCTTTTTAGAGAGAAAAGGGCATTTTAAATTAGACTCTTTTTTAGGACAAAAGAGTACCAACATAATTGTTGAAAACTGTCATACTAATACACCATGACACAGATTAATTGTTCTTTCATGATCTTTCAAAACACATTTCTGCAAGAAGAATAAAAGAGAACTTTTATTTGCTTATCTATACTGTTTTTAATGGGAAAACAAGGACGAATGGAATAAGGCATCAGTGACAAAAGGTTTGCATACACAAAGTTAGCATAGAAGATAACATGTATCATCCAAGGCCGATTTTCATACAATACTACACGAGGTTCTTCTGTTTTCAAGAGAAACTACAAAAGCCAAACCAAACATACCAAGTAGGGTCTGGGGAGTCTAAAAGAAAAAAATGAGAAGTTTTTGAAGATATTAAAGATATATCAAGAATTCTTAATTCTTTTCAAGAGTTCTATAGTTGTTCTACCAATGGATTAGCAGACATCTAAAGATGAAATGTAATGTGAAGAAAAACTACATGAGTTTTATAATAACTACACAAACCTGATCCTCAAGAAGTATTCCTGCATAGCCTGAGTGAATATACCCTTTGACAGTTCTCTTGACATTCATGGCATTACCATACCCATTGTCCGCATCTCCAATTAAGGGTATGGAAACAGCACGTGCAATTTCTTGTCCCATAGCCACCATCTCCCCATAAGTTATTAGCCCCGTATCTGGCAAGCCCAACTGAGCAGCTGATATTCCAAACCCTTGTGAAAGCATTAGTGTTCATCAGATTGAGTGAAGATCTAGGAGAGAGAATATACATTTATGATTCTGCCGATCATTTATGGTCAACAATCTTGTCTACATCAAATTATTCACATACTCTTTTTTCTTTTTGTTTCATTACTTAATGATGATACGAAATGCATTGAACAACCAACCATGATTGAGGTGTCCTGTGCTCATCTCAAAACAGACATTTTGAGAAATTATAAATGAACAAGCTAATCATGTGACTATAAAGTACTCTCTCCATTCCAAAATAAGTGTTCTTTATCTACGTGTATTTTGTGTTGCCCTCTCTATTTAAAATTAAAATAGGGGTATATTAGAAGAAACATATTGATTCTCACATTCACAGCCACAGTTTTTCTCAAATTACCATTTTCAATAGAGGTAGTAAAAACTACAAAAATGTTCGTAACTTGGAAATATATGCTATACATCATACCATGATAATAGTCCTAAAAGGCTAACACAAATACGGAGTACAGAGTAACAAACTATATAAACGAAAATCAGTAAGCGGTATCAGTCATCAGTCAGTGAATCAGGAGGTAGTTGTAGTAGAGGAGAACCAGTGGTAAAGCCGAAATCAAAGCCGGCTCTCTCAACGAGCTTAGCGCTGAGAGCATTGAAGCAGGCGGGGCCCAGATGAATCCCTGGCGACTCTAGGAGATTACGAAGCCTAGTAGCCTTAGAGTCTCCAGATTTAGAGACGGATGAAATGGCCTGGATGGAGCTCCTGGCGACATGGCACTCCTTCGCAGCCTTAGATCTCCCACTTGGCTCTCCATAGAGACGGCCACTGATTCTAATCCCGATTCCAGTCGGGAACCGATAGCATCGCCTCAGCGAGTGATCGAATAGGGAAGAGAACGATGGCCCAACTTTGGAATTTGAAATTAGTTCAGAGCAGTTGCAGCTGGCCAGGAAGGAAGTTCCGGCGCTAAACATAGGAGTCTGCTTTCCGTTCTTGTGGATTGAGGAAAGAAAAACATTTTACAGGTCAAAAATGCTACGGTAATGTATAGAAATGGTCTAATTTTTTACTCTTCCCTCCCTTTTTATTATAAAAAAAAAAAAGAAATTACCCAAAATAGGAGCAAATGACATTTGTAATTTCAAAAATAGGACTAATATATTTTTCTTCTCGAAATACGAGTTATTACTGTCATATATGAAAAATACTGTCATTAATTATAATAAATATTGTTATATTAAATGCATTGTACTGCAACTATTTGGCAGTCACGGCTACAAGATGACAGTAAATACTGTCATGTTAGTCCCATTTCGGGAATAAAAACCAAGTAGTCCTACTTTGGGATTTCAAACTTCATTTACTCTTATTTTGGGAAATCTCCCTAAAAAAATATCGAATTTCATTTTGACTGTACTTTTTCTTTTTCTCATAGTATCTAATTTGTTAAATGTCAACATCACTCCTTGATTGGGATGAGTTTTGTACTTGTGATCTTTTTCTTCGAAGTGTCAAAGTGATGTCATCGAACCTCAAAGTGTTTTCCAAATTGAACTTATTTAAAAAAAATCGATATTAGTATTTTTATATGGATATGTGTATCAAAACTCTATAATCATTATTTGATACATGACTTGACAAGTGTTGGATTATAGGGTATCCAAAGTATATTAAAATGGAGAGATTTGAGCTAATGTGAGGAAGAAGATGAATGAATAGTGAATTGTGAAATTATGTTCTAGGGTTACAAATGGCTCCAAGAGGAGTATAAATAGGGAAATAATGGGCCGGGCCGCTAATATGGGCCCGGTAGCCCAACTACATAAAAGACTAATCTAGTACATAGTTACATACAAATGACATATAAGCAGTACAATAATACAAATGATATCCGTAAGATGTGTGTGGGCCGCTGTCCAGGCCCAATAGTCATGAGACCCGGGGGTCCGAGTCTATATACTCTATCAGGAGTCCCCCACTCTCTGAGTCGAGAGTATTCGAGGCGAAAGAGAGTAGAACTGTGTGCTGATCTGTCGTCGTCTGGTGAGTAAACTTCGTGAAAAAAATTTGAATTTCTGCTTCTTTGGTTAACGGAGGCGCTAAGTCCCCCGCTCTTCCAGTCCCCCACTCCTTAAGGCGAGTGTAATGAGGTGAAGAGGAGTAGAGTAATGCGTGTCGGATGATGTCTTCAACAGGGGGCCGAGGGTTGACACCTTTTGATCCACGATGGGGAGATGCCTCGTTAAAAACCTCATTAGGAAAAACCCTGTGGGAAAAAATCCTAATGAGGGAAAAAGAGTACACCGGATGCCCCCAAAATGAAACAAAAGGTGCGAGCCCTTCGGCCTGGAGATGGAGCTGCAGCGGTGCCCGTCTGCTGGATGGTCGAGGTCGATCTCTAGATGTGGGTAGCTCATCATGATCAGTAGTCCTAGTCATCAAATAAAGATGACTAAGGGATGGGTCGAGCGACCGTCCATAATATGATGTCTGGTTCATCAAATAAAGATGACCAGAACGTAAGGTCGATGGGCCGAGAGGCCTGTACGAGAGCTCCACGTTGTCGCATAAGGACGACGAGGCGATGTATGGCCGAGGGACCTGCATAGAGCTCCACGTCGTCAAATAAAGACGATTGGGCGATGTGTGCGGCCGAGGGGCCTGCATAAGAGCTCCACGTCGTCAAATAAAGACGACGAGGCGATGGTGTGGCCGAGGGGCCTGAATAAGAGCTCCACGTCGTCAAATAAAGACGACGAGGCGATGGTGCGGCCGAGGGGCCTGCATAAGAGCTCCACGTCGTCAAATAAAGACGACGGGGCGATGGTGCGGCCGAGGGGCCTGCATAAGAGCTCCACGTCGTCAAATAAAGACGACGGGGCGATGGTGCGGCCGAGGGGCCTGCATAAGAGCTCCACGTCGTAAAATAAAGACGACGGGGCGATGGTGCGGCCGAGGGGCCTGCATAAGAGCTCCATGTCGTCAAATAAAGACGACGGGGTGATGGTGCGGCCGAGGGGCCTGCATAAGAGCTCCACGTCGTCAAATAAAGACGACGGGGTGATGCATGGCCGAGAGAGGCCTATATGAGAGCTCCACGTCATCGAATAAAGATGACGGGGCGACGTATGGCCGAGAGGCCTACATGAGAGCCCCACATCATCAAATAAAGATGACGGGGTGATGTATGGCTGAGAGAGGCCTATATGAGAGCTCCACGTCATCAAATAAAGATGAAGGGGCGACGTATGGCTGAGAGGCCTACATGAGAGCCCCGCATCATCAAATAAAGATGACGGGGTGGTGTATGGCTCAGAGGCCTATATGCGAGCGTCATGTCATCAAATAAAGATGACGGAGCGAGATATGGCCGATGGGCCTATAAATGAGCTTCGCGTCATCAAATAAAGATGACGAGGCGATGGTGCGGCCGAGGGGCCTGCATACGAGCTCCACGTCGTCAAATAAAGACGACGGGGCGATGGTGCGGCCGAGGGGCCTGCATAAGAGCTCCACGTCGTCAAATAAAGACGACGAGGTGATGCATTGCCGAGAGAGGCCTATATGAGAGCTCCACGTCATCGAATAAAGATGACGGGGCGACGTATGCCCGAGAGGCCTACATGAGAGCCCCACATCATCAAATAAAGATGACGGGGTGATGTATGGCCGAGAGAGGCCTATATGAGAGCTCCACGTCATCAAATAAAGATGACGGGGCGACGTACGACCGAGAGGCCTACATGAGAGCCCCACATCATCAAATAAAGATGACGGGGTGATGTATGGCTGAACTCTGGGCTCCTTTAGCCTTTCGGCCGGAGACCGCAAGATGTTCGCTATATCTGAATAGGGGGACGAGGCGGTGGATGCCTGTCTGAATATGAGGACGACGACGATGATGAGTCGGTCCGAATATGAGGACGACAGCGCTGACGAACCGGTCCGAATATGGGGACGATGGCGCTGGTGAGCCGATCCGAATATGGGGACAAGGCGATGATAAGCCATGTGTCATATGAAGGCGACGGTCACCATCCAGGAAGGGAATGGCGAGCCTGGTCGCTAGATAAGGACTTCGGCGCTGGGGCCGGTCTAAATGTGAGGACGAGGCGATGATGAGCCGTGCGTCATATAGGGGCGACGGTCGCCGTCCGGGAAGGGATGGCGAGCCCAATCGCTATAACAAGACTTCGGCGCTGGGAGCCGGTCTTGAGATAAATAATCACGTCGCGGCCGAGAGGCTGATCGCGATGTGCGGATGACAATGATGAGGAGCCAGTCCGAAATCTGATGACGAGGCGATGATGGAGCCGATCGTGATATAGAGGCGATAGTCACCATCCAGGAGGGGATGGCAAGCCTTATCGCTATCCTAACACACTCGGCGCTGATGAAGCCGGTGTTGGGATAGGGTGTGACGTCGTGGCCGAGGGGCCGATCGTGATGCGAGGTCGTCAGCACTATGAGGCTGATCCAAAAGTCCAAGCAGCGGTCGCCATCCGATGAAGGGATGACTGAGACCGTTCTTGGGGATAGATAATCACGTCGAGGCCGAGGGGCCGATCGTGATGTGCGGGCGGAGATGATGAGCCGATCCGATAATATGATGACGAGGCAAGAATGAAGCCAATCGTCATATAAGGGCGATGGTCACCATCCAGGAAGGGATGGCGAGCCCGATCGCTAGCTCAAGACTCTCGGCTCTGAGGAAGCCGGTCTTGAGATAGATAGTCACGCCGAGGCCGAGGGGCCGGTCGTGATGCGCGGATGGCGATGAAAAGAGCCAATCCGAAATATGATGACGGGGCAATGATGAGTCGGCCGTCATATAGAGGCGATGGTCATCATCCAGGAAGGGATGGTGAGCGCAGTCGCTAGCTCAAGATCGCGTTGAGATCGAGGGGTCTGCCGCGATGTGAGCATGGCGGCGATGATGAGCCGTTCCAATAAATGATGACGAGGCCATGATGGGCCAATCGTCATATAAAGGCGACGGTCACCATCCAGGAAGGGATGGTGAGCCCGATCGCCAGGTCAAGACTCTCGGCGCTGAGGAAGCCGGTCTTGAGATAGATAATCACGCCGAGGCCGAGGGGCCGGGCATGATGTGAGGACGACGGCGATGAGGGGCCGGTCCAAAAATCCATGCAACGGTCGTCATTCGGTAAAGGAATGACTAAGACCGGTCTCGAGATAAATAATCACGTCGAGGCCGAGGGGGGCGGTCGTGATATGAGGACGAAGGCACTGAGGGGTCGGTCCGAAGATCCATGCAACGGTCGCCATCCGGGAAGGGATGATGAGCCCGATCGCTAGCTCAAGACTCTCGGCGCTGAGGAAGCCGGTCTTGAGATAGATAATCACGTCGAGGCCGGGGGGCCAGGCATGATGTGAGGACAACGGCGATGAGGAGCCGGTCCTATAATATGATGACGAGGCGCTGATGAAGCTGATCGTCATATAAAGGCGATGGTTGCCATCCAGAAAGAGATGGTGAGCCCGATCGCTGGCTCAAGACTCGCGACGCTGAGGAAGCCGGTCTTGAGATAGATGATCACGCCGAGGCCGAGGGGCCGGTCGTGATGTGAGGACAATGGCGATGAGGAGTCGGTCCTATAATACGATGACGAGGCGCTGATGAAGTTGATCGTCATATAAAGGCGATGGTCACCATCCAGGAAAGGATGGTGAGCCCGATCGCTGGCTCAAGACTCGCGGCGCTGAGGAAGCCGGTCTTGAGATAGATGATCACGCCGAGGCCGAGGGGCCGGTCGTGATGTGAGGACAACGACGATGAGGAGTCGGTCCAAATAATGATGGACGGCGCTGGGCACTCGTCTGAGAAATGATGGATGGCGCTGGGCGCTCGTCTGAGATGATGGACGGCGCTGGGCGCTCGTCTGAGATGATGGACGACGTTGGGCGCTCGTCTGAAAATGAGGGACGGCGTTGGGCGCTCGTCTAAAAAATGAAGGACGGCGCTGGGCGCTCGTCTAAGAATGAAGGACAGCGT